ACCCCTGTAGTCACCCCCATTGCCATCCATGGGATGAATGGAATACCCCCATCACAAGAAAGGGAAGAGCCATTAATGGACAGAGGCACAGCCTCCCATCGTGACTTGTACCCCTGTAGTCACCCCCATTGCCATCCATGGGATGAATGGAATACCCCCATCACACTAAAGGGAAGAGCCATTAATGGACAGAGGCACAGTCTCCCATCGTGACTTGTACCCCTGTAGTCACCCCCATTGCCATCCATGGGATGAATGGAATACCCCCATCACAAGAAAGGGAAGAGCCATTAATGGACAGAGGCACAGTCTCCCATCGTGACTTGTACCCCTGTAGTCACCCCCATTGCCACCCATGGAATGAATGGAATACCCCCATCACACTACAGGAAGAGCCATTAATGGACAGAGGCACAGTCTCCCATCGTGACTTGTAACCGTGTAGTCACCCCTATTGCCATCCATGGGATGAATGGAATACCCCTATCACACTAAAGGGAAGAGCCATTAATGGACAGAGGCACAGCCTCCCATCGTGACTTGTACCCCTGTAGTCACCCCCATTGCCACCCATGGAATGAATGGAATACCCCTATTACAAGAAAGGGAAGAGCCATTAATGGACAGAGGCACAGCCTCCCATCGTGACTTGTAACCCTGTAGTCACCCCCATTGCCATCCATGGGATGAATGGAATACCCCTATCACACTAAAGGGAAGAGCCATTAATGGACAGAGGCATAGTCTCCCATCGTGACTTGTACCCCTGTAGTCACCCCCATTGCCACCCATGGAATGAATGGAATACCCCTATTACAAGAAAGGGAAGAGCCATTAATGGACAGAGGCACAGCCTCCCATCGTGACTTGTAACCCTGTAGTCACCCCCATTGCCATCCATGGGATGAATGGAATACCCCTATCACACTAAAGGGAAGAGCCATTAATGGACAGAGGCATAGTCTCCCATCGTGACTTGTACCCCTGTAGTCATCCCCATTGCCATCCATGGGATGAATGGAATACCCCTATCACACTAAAGGGAAGAGCCATTAATGGACAGAGGCATAGTCTCCCATCGTGACTTGTAACCTTGTAGTCACCCCCATTGCCACCCATGGAAGAATGGAATACCCCTATCACACTCACCAACAAGAAGAGGAGACATACTTTCCCAGAGGGGATAGTCCCTCCCATCTTCCCCTACACTACACTGTGACAGTCCATGTGGAGGGGATGGAGTGGGCTGTACGAGGAATATCTCTGGCTATGGCAGTGGGGCTGTCAGTAACACTATCGAAGATGGGGCTGGGGGTTCTGTTAATGGTTCCGGTGGGGAAGGCTATAGGTGCTGTCAGTGATCTTGGGGGGAGGGGATGTGATGCTGTCAGTGATCTTGGGGGGAGGGGATGTGATGCTGTCAGAGATCTTGGGCGGAGGGGATGTGATGCTGTCAGAGATCTTGGGGGGGAGGGGATGTGATGCTGTCAGAGATCTTGGGGGGAGGGGATGGGTGCTTCAGTGACACACAGCGGATGAGAGATTAGGTGCTGCCAGTAACAAAGTGTGGGAGGGGCTGGGTGCTGTCAGTGACAGAGAGGCTGTCACTGACAGTGGGGGAGGGGTTGCGTGCTATGAGTGACAGAGTGGGGGGAGGTGCAGTCGGTGACAGAGTGGGGGGAGGTGCAGTCGGTGACAGAGTGGGGGGAGGTGCAGTCGGTGACAGAGTGGGGGAGGTCGGTGACAGAAAGGGAGGGGTAGTCGGTGACAGAGTGGGGGAGGTGCAGTCAGTGACAGAGGGGAGGTGCAGTCAGTGACAGAAGGGGGGGAGGTGCAGTCAGTGACACAGAGTGGGGAGGTGCAACAAGTGACAGAAAGGGGGCCAGGTGCAGTCAGTGACAGAGTGGGCCAGGTGCGTCAGTGACAGAGTGGGGCTTAGGTGCAGTCAGTGACAGAGGGGGCTGCAGGTGCAGTCAGTGACAGAGTGGGGCTTGCGGGTGCAGTCAGTGATGAGTGGGGGGAGGTGCAGCAGTCAGTGACAGTGGGGGAGGTGCAGTCAGTGACAGAAGTGGGGAGGTCAAGCCGCACAGAGTGGGGAGGTCAAGCCAGTGACAGAGTGGGGAGGTCAAGTCAAAGTGACAGAGTGGGGGGAGGGTCAAGTCAGTGACAGAGTGGGGGAGGTCAAGTCAGTGACAGAGTGGGGAGGTGCAGTCAGTGACAAAGTGGGGGAGGTGCAGTCAGTGACAGAGTGCAGCACGTGTTTTACAGAGTGGGGAGGCAGTCAGTGACAAAGAGTGGGGGGAGGTGCAGTCAGTGACAGAGTGGGGGAGGTGCAGTCACTGGGGTGACAGAGTGGGGAGGCAGTCAGTGACAGAGTGGGGAGGTGCAGTCAGTGAGAGTGGGGGGAGGTGCAGTCAGTGAGAGTGGGGGGAGGTGCAGGCTGCTGCCAGTAACACACAGTGGGAGAAGTGCAGTCAATGAGAGAGTGGGGGTAGAGGCTGGGTGCTGTCTGTGACACACAGTGGAGGAGGTGCAGTCAGTGAGGGAGGGTGCAGTCAGTGACAGAGTGGAGGGAGTTGCAGTCAGTGACACACAGTGTAGGAAGTGCAGGCAGTGATAGAGTGGGGGAGGGGCTAGGTGCCTTCAGTGACACACAGTGGGGGAGGTGCTGTCAGTGACAGAGTGAAGGAGGGGCTGGATGCTGTCAAATAACAGATCAGGGGAGTGGCACGCGGGGAGAGTGCCAGTCAGTGAGGGGGGCTATCAGTGGGGGG